TTAGTACGTAATTTTAGTTTAATTTACAAATTAGTGATAGTTCCATCATAAAATCACAAAAATAATCATCTTGACTTGAATAGATTCGATTAAGGTCGCAATAATAGAATTCAAATTAAATCAATCCTCGTGGGAACGATACTCGAAATTCTAGGATTTCCACTTTATTACTTGTCAACGAACCGTACACTTGCGATGATTTAAATCCGAAACATATTTTCTTGAATAACTGTGGGAACTGGTAGAGCTGATGAACATCCAACGTTGTGGCTGCATAGTATTTGTTGATTTCGTCTTTGCTGCAGCTCTTGAGCCTTCGACATACACAGCAGCTCATTGGGATTCTCAAGGTAGAATTTATAGTTATTAAAGAAAGAATTAATATCTTCCCAGTATGCCGTCTTGTGTTTCCCTTCATTTGAGATTGATATCCCAGAATCTCTGACAGAATTACCACCTCCTTCAATTTGATTCAAATTGGAGGAGGCCAACTCATCGAAAGGATTAGCCATCTCAGAGCATAGACTAATGCATTATTTACAATTATCCTTTATGGTTATAATAAACATGTACGTACGAAACAAGATATAAGGTTTGAAAATATAATATTTGAAAGGACAAGCTACAACTGTGAATCCATTGCATTCTGAAATAATCCCAAGATTTAGCTTGCTTAAATACACCAGGATGTAAATTAAATTACTATAGTAACGACATCATACAGCTGTTTTGTATACATTCCCATCATTTTGTAAACAACTATGTTATCTGTCAGCATACTTTCACTTCAACTTCGTTGAGAAATTCAGACATATTGGACAGACTGACAAAGCTATTAGGGACTAAGGAACAAAAGAGATTCTTACCTGCTACCACTGAGTTAAGGCAAAATAATAAACTGAACGGCTAAGCATCCTATGACTACCTTCAATAATATTATTTTTTCTCAATCATATTTTCCTTCTTCAGCACTCGTTCTATGAGAATTTGCAAGTGGTTAGAGAATGGATTGGTGTTCCTCTCCATCCAACAACCATGCCCTTCCCATTATGTTCAAGTTTGCAGGAGCTTCCATGTACAAACTGGTTGAGAATTAAATTAGCTTGATACCAAAATGACTCGCTGAGTTCAATTTCTGTCATTCCAAATCTTTCAAAAAATGCCCTCCACACATCAGTTTTTACATTTCGAGTGGTTCTTACCCTCAGTTGCAACTATGTTCAGAATCCCTTGACTGAAATAAATCCCTTCAAGATTCATTCTGGATTGACAGCTTTGCTCCATGCAATCTTCCAAGCAATTGAAATAAGCACTATAAAACAAGAGTGCCTCAATGAAGCGATCCACGAATGAAGGAGAATTGTGATTGCCTCTACTTCAATGACGACCATTAGGACAGGCCTAAGCCTTCTTATTGCTCCCATTACATTTTCTACGCAATCGGGTTTTGATACCATTGACCTCAACATCAGAAAGGAGTAAACAACCACAGTTTCACCAGCTTCAACATTTAAGAGATCTTCCTTGAAGTTTCTCATGTCTGTAAGATATACTGCCTCGAATGAGAAAGAAAAATTCAAGGACTCAGCAAAGCTCAGCAGTCTCTGGCCAGTTACTTCAATATAAAGTTGATCAGTTGTTCCAACTGCAGATATTTTAAGATGCTTGATCAGGTGTTCATGCCACTCTGAAAGTCCTTGCATGAGTTGCATCAGGGCTGTGTTAAGATTAACATTTTAAGATGGAACTCAAATCTTTGCATGGTATCAAAGCCCATTAAGCTCCAAGGAGCGATTCGATCCGAACACGAATTTCAAAATTATTCTGTTCAAACGAGCCACTATCTTGCGGAAGCATATAAAAGGATAAAATCTTACATCGAATAAAGATGAAAAGATAAATCCATTTATAAGGGTTTGAATTACTCCTCTCAATAAGATTGACATTTTAAAATGAAACTTCAAATTTTAACAGGATGTCCATTGAATTCCACTCCTTATTTGAAGATCAGTCAAATGGATCTTGCTATCTGTTCTCACATTTTCAATTATGCTTTGTATTCCAGCAAATTGCATCACTTGTGTGAAGGGCAGTTCTTAGTGGGATGCCAAGAATGTTACGTTCGTTTCCAAAGCAAGGCTCTTTACGGGGTTCATTGGTTGCTTAGTTTTCTGTGTCTCATTTTACTTGCAAAGTCAAAATGTTGACAGCCCACATTTTCTGCAGCAACAAGGAGAAGATGTACAAAGTTCCACATCCCTTGCTTCGTCTGCGGAAAGGCCGGAGAGACAAGAGCCGTAAGGGTTAATAAACATGGAAATACCATCTTCCTTGTTGGTAGAAAATTGGATAAACCTTTATCCAGCCACCCCCAGAATTTCCTCCATTGTTAATTTCTGGCCGACTACATTATTGCCACTGCTAAAATTATTGAAAGTTGTTGGAAATAAATCCCACATCGCCTATGGACAATATCTTGGGCCAGCTTATAAACAATGTGGCAAACCTCTTTTGTTGAACCGGTTTTGTGAGATGAGTTAAGCCCATAAATTTCTACAGGGTATCAAAGCTTACCACAAAATTGATGTGGGCTCACACTACTTA